ACTAATGTTAGTTTTGTACCACCACCACTGGAATTTCAGTCACAGCTGGAGGTAAAAGGACAAGAGAAGCAGCAGACAAGCTCCGCTGTTAAAATACAGCTTGCCACCTAACAGAGAGCCTCCAACACCAGCCAGACTTTCTGAGCTCTGCTCAGACAGGTTTCTCAAAACACTATTACACAGCTATTAGTTTCCATTAAGATGTTTGTGTGAAAGCACAGTTTCCAAATTCCTTCTGCACAATGCTTGATCCCCCCCACTTTTTGACACACACAGGAATGTCATTTTATTATTTATACAGATCACTTTGTTTTCCTCAGCACATAATTTCAATTCCAATTCATTAATGTCAAAGGACAAAAGAAACAACATCACATAAAGCAACAAAAGTTTGCCAAAAGCAGAAGATAACAGCTGATAATTAAGGAAGTCCCATTATTTCTTGGCAAAGGAGCCTGTGTTTACAGAGACACATTCTTAAAGGCCCTCTCTTTAGTGTAGCTGCATAATTTGCATGAATACTATTTGCACAGATAAATAAAGGTTTTCAATATGCATAAAAGGAGGCTTTAATGTTCCTGTAATTTCTGTACAATAGCCATCCCATGCTCCTTCTCACTGGCACAGCCCCAGCCTGGTGACAGGTTCACAGCAGAGCCACTCTGGCAAACCTCCATGGCAGAGGCAAAAAATTGTTGTGACTCCATCAAGATCTGGGGGCTTTAGTTAGCACACACCTGTCACCCCCCAAATCTCATTTCATACTGACATGACTCTGCAGTAAAAAGGCATTGTGTTGATCTGAAACTGCACATAAATCCTCTACCCAAGAAGAAACCCTCCATTTCCATCTTCCCAGGCTCAACTCTGCCTTCTGCCCTGGGATTCCTTCACAGAAAGATCTCTGCTCGCTGGGCAAGTCCACCCCAAATAGACTTTTGCACCTCACTTGTGCTTCCTCACATTAGTATGCCAGGTACTGCCGGGCATGCAGGGCCAATGGCAATTCTTTTTTTTTGTGGTTCCCCTGTGCTCTTCCCTTCAGCTGTTTCCAAGCGTTATTCTCCGCAAGACTGAGCATCTATTCTAGGCTACAGCATTACACTGAGATGAAAACGTGGCAGCATGTGGAAGGAGACATGTTATTTTGATCAAACCTGAAACAGGCTAACCAGTTTTGTGGCTCCTAGCATTTGGATTCTGTATACCCACCCCTATAGCACAGCTTGGCTTTGGTTTGGTTGATGAGGATCTCAGAGAGAAATTACAGACCCCCCATTCTTCTGAAGCCCGATGTCATCCACTACCTACTGGATCCCAGTCCTGATCCATGGTGGAGGTCTGTGATGGATGGTTATTACCTCATTCATGGAGATTTGATCAAAGATGGTGTTATTAAAGTCACAAATCATCAATAGAGAGGAAAGAAGTTTTACTGGCAGAGTTCTCTGTGCAAATACTGCTTGAACAGAAACTGTTTTATTCTGGCAAAGCCCCAGAAGGTCAAGATTATATCCTATGTGAGGGTTGTCAACAATCCACACATACTGCCACAGCAGTTCCCAAGTCACCAAGAGCTGATAAATGATAAAGATTTTTTTTCACATACAAAAAATTTATATTTCTACTGAAAAAGATTTTTAGACAAAACTTCATCAGATACTTTCTACAGAAAATTTGTGGGCAAGAGTAAATTCTCCATTGCAGTATGAATTATAATTGCAAATCTTCCACTATGCCTATTGCTGAAGGAAAAATAAATTTATTTCATGGCAAGATTTGGCCTGAGTCCTAGATCCTCTTCACATTTTAGCAGTATTGATACAGCAGCAAAACTCTCCAAGGGTGCACACAGCCTCAAAATCCTTCTGAGTCTGTAAGAGTCATAACCACTGCATCCCCCAGTAGAACAGAGCTTCTCAGAAATTAGCTCCTGGTCTGCACAAGGCTACTGAACAACTGTCTAGCTTAGACCGAGGCATCATATCACCAAATATTTTTAAGAACCAGACACTGCAGTCTTGGAGCCTGGCACGGAGGAGGAAGGAGGGTCGTACATCTTCACCTGTGACAGGTCCGTATGGGGAGAGCAGCAGGTTCCTACATGGCTTTGTCAATTATGAACCCAACAGAACCAGAAGCTGAGGTTCATCCATTGCATAGCAGGTCTAACTCTGTGCTACTACCCTGGATGCAACCCTGGATTTTGATGCAAACCTGTCCTTTGAAGATATTGTCTCCTGGTGGAGCTTCTTGTTTTGTTAACTCAGCTCTCCCCACTCAATTCTTTGCTGTGCTCTACACAGCTTCTTTAAGTTTTCCGACTGCAACCAGTGCCCACTTCCTGGTGTCTTCGGTGTGATGGCAAAGTTGCTGGTGCTACTACTCTGGTGGAGATGAACTGTGTGGTATCAGAAATAACTTGCTTAATGTGGGAGAAGAGTGCAGCAGAGCAAAACCCCATTTACACTGATATATTTCTAGGAAAAGGTGTGGGATGGTCACTAAATATGCAGCCCAGAAGCTGAAACATGGGGCAGCTCTGAGTTTCCCTAAGAAACGTGTTTATGGCAGGCAGAAGGGGGTTACTTCTGGGAGTTCCTGTCTCGCCAACTCAGTTCAATCAGGAAACATTTCTGGGCAGCTCAGCTTTCTCTCAGCGACGTGAGGGTACAGGGGCTAGCCCTCTCTGCCTGGCATTATGGTGTGTTAATGATGTCAGTGAGCATTTGCACTTACACAGATAACATCACCTAATGAGTCCCTCCACCAGAAATGCTGCTGCCATTCGATGTCCAGCTGCTTAACGTGTTTTCTTAGGAACAGAGTGTAGGCAGTCATGCTAAATTCCCACCCCTGAGCTGTAAGAGAAAATCCTATCCATCCACCCAAGATCTAAGGTTTGTATTAATCTATGACAAAAACCCTTTCCTGCTCATTTCCTGTTGAGCAGCAGCCTAAATACCCTGGCCCAAAGGCAGAAAAGAATGCAAACGATTACTTCCCCTATTACAGTGAGAAATACAAAGAGGACAAAAGGTGAACTTCACCCCTGTGCTGAAGGTCAGGAGAAGACCCATGTAAGCAAACTGAGACAGAATGATTCAGTCAACAAAGTAAACAGCAAATTCCTCACAGGAGGAAAAAAAAAAAAAAGCAAAGGCTATTTTGTTTCCTGATTAACCAAGTTATCCAGTTAACTACATCAGACGTAGTCACGCATTCTGTGCTTTCAGTACTCCCTCCTACCCTACCACCACACAAAATCGCTGCAGACCCAGTCTACAGCTGATGAGATTATTGACGCATGAATTCATTCACTGATTATGAAACTGGAAGTCAAGCACTCCTGCTCTCTGACTTCTATGCTGGCATCTATGACCCTGGGAAATTCTTCTGGTTTTTAAAAATTTTATAACAACAGGGCTGGAATATTTACTCATCTGTCAGAGAAACAGAGTGTATGTAACTGCTGAATGTAACTGCTCCTGCATTTCTTGATACACAAAAAGTTTTCCCAATGTGAGTAGAAGACATTATCATCAAAGTTGGTTCAATAGGTAAAAATAAGAAGTTCTGTTTACAGATAACATACCAATCCTGTTACATTACCATTCACAGATGTACATACTTAGCATTGGCAATTGTCAGAAAAGTGCAAAAATTGTTTCCACAGTATGATTTTATCCAAGACACTCACTCTATGCTCGTTGCATTCTGCCACATTGTACATGTTATCACTTGAAATCAGCTATTCCTTACTCCAAATGGCATGAAAGATTTTGCTAGATATACCATTTGCCATTGCGTTCATGCCTTTCCTATATAGCCTCAACACAGACTTCCTTACAGAAATCTTACAATTTACTCTTTCAGCTGGCCCATAGTGAGTCTCACTGCCAGGAGACTATTACCATAATTTTGAGGTTGTCTCTGTTATCCATCCAATACACCCTAAAAGAAAATCACACTCATTTCTAATGATCATGGAAACAAGTATCTGAGGGCACTTTTGATACATGCTGGTTAAAAAGAATTAAAATTCCAACTCCTATTCACTCCTACACATCCATAAAGGTATCACAACCACTGCATGTGAAGACAATGTGGGTCTGGAGAAGGTAGGTTGTTGAGTTGACAGCATTACATACTCAGATTTAATCAGGTTTTGCTGCAACATTAGGGCACTGGACTGAACTTTGGAAAGTAAAGCGCACAGAAACATGTAATAGTTCTGTTACAGAAAGGTTAGTCCTTTATATATGTTTTGCACATTCAGCATCTAAAGATGAAGGGAATATGCTTGTATGCAGGAACACAGACGTTGTGCATTTGATGACTTCAGACACAGAGTAGTACAAGACATTAGCATAGACGTGACAAATGAGTAAACAGTCCAAACGCTGGCTCAACGTATTTGCCTGTCCAAGAGTCACAAATTAGAGCCAGAGCAGAACTGATGTTTCATGAGTGTGAACACAGGCTACTGCTCTCCACAGCTAAGCAAGGCTCTGGCAACTTTTTCACCTGGGACTCGAGTGAGACTGAACAGAGCACTTGCACATTGGCAAGAACACCACTCACTCATCCTTTACGTTCTCGGATTTTCTATCCGTGTATGCGAAGAACCAGAAACGCGCCGGCCTGCAAATTTATTCGTGTAGATGAAGCGATGTCTCCCAGCTTTCACGGCCTGCAAGGCTCCCAGGTAACAGCAGCACAGGAGCGTCAGACGCCTCCCGTTACGCGCCGCGGCCGCCGCACCGGCTGAGCGCTGCCCCC